GGATGGGTTTCTCGTGGAAGGTTTCCTGTGCACTGGCCTCCACTGTAGGGAGGAAGGGGGGAGGAGGAGAGAGGAGGTTGGAGGAGAGTAATGATGAACAGGAATGCGAGGTGTTCCCCAAAGGCCAGGTTGGGACAGCTGGAGCTTCAGAGCGGGCCCGCGCGCCAGCTCTGCATACCGCGGCCTCCAGGCATCGTGATCAAGTCGGGCACGTCCCTCTACAGGAGGAATCTTCTAAACTTGTCCAAACATAGTTCGGGGACGTTTTTGTTTGATGCTGTTGTTGTTGTTGTTGTTGTTGTTGTTGTTGTTGTTGTTGTTGATGATGATTTTTCGCCCGACTCCTGAATGCCCCGACTGTCCCGCCCGCCAGGCCCGCGCCCCGCAGCCACCGGGCCCCAGCACTCCCGAGAGGAGTCCCGAGCGTCTCGCCCGCCGGCCGTGCACGCCGCATCAACGACTGACCGTGCATACGGCATCAGGGATCGGGGGTTCGTAAAGGGAGGGTCACTACCCCAAGGTGGGGCTGGGGAAGGGGCCCAGCCGGATGCTCCCGTTTCGCGCGTCTCCCTCTTCCAGGGGCCGCTCGGAGCGATCCTCCCCTCCAATCCCCACCCTGGCCCCTGCCCCACCTTTTTGTTCCCCCCCCCCCCCCGAAAGGACCGACAAGGACAGCAGGCATCGGTAAAGACATGACAGGCGCTGCCGCCTCCTCGCTCCTCCTCGCTCCTCCTCGCTCCTCCTCGCTCTTCCTCCTCCTCCGCCTCCTCCTCCTCCTCGGCCTCCTCCCTCCCCCCTCTTTTCCGGCGACCGCCAGGACCGCGCGGGGGTCGTCGACGCGGCGGCGGTCGGCGCGCCACAGGCGCGCCTCCCTGCGGGGCAGCCACGGGGCAGGAGCGGCAAAGGGCGACGAGAGAGGGGCTCGCGAGAGCCCGTGCGCTTCCGCCGAGAGGGATCGGCGCGAGGGAGAGGCGAAGGGGCGAAGGGGCGAAGGGGCAGATGGGGGAGGGAGGGGCGCAGGGGCGGAGGGGCGAGGGAGGGGCGAGGGAAGGGCGAAGGGGCAGAGGGGGACCAGGGAGGAAGGGAGAGTTGGAGGAGAGTAAGAACAGGAGTGCAGTGGAGACCCATGCCAGGAAGCGCCCTGCTTGCCTCCAGGGTGCCCTGGGCTGCCTGGGTTTCCATGGTCTTGCGACGGAAGGCGCGACGTTCCCATGCCAGAAATCTCAATGGATGCCCTGGGGCCTCAGGGTTGGGAGTCTGGTGGAAGGTCTCCGGTGGAGACTGGCCCCCCGCCGCCGTGGTGCGGGGCGCCTCGGGTGCCCCGAGGCAGGGCGGACAGCGGCAGCCCTGCGTGCCGACGCCGTCGGGGCTTACGAGGCGGGGGCCAGTGCAAACGGGGGTCAGCCAGGGTACAGTCGGGGCGCTGAAGAAGGAGCCCGTTTCGTTGGTGAGGGGCTCGGTGTTCCTTGATTGTTTCAAAGTTTGCCTCGGGTTTTCCTGAGGTGTCCATGGGAAATCGAGGTTGAACTTGTGGGAAAAAGGGGCCTCGTTCCCTATTTAGGGTTCCTTAGGTCAACGCCCCGACTGTACGGGATCCTGCAGGATCCTGCGAAGACTACCTCTGGCTGACCCGGGTTAGCGAGCCGCTCGTGGCCGCTGGGCGGCCGCGCAGATTGGCTGGCCCGGGTTTGCGAAGGCCTGCGTTGCAGTTTTTCGTTTCCTGCATTGCAGTTCTTTGGTTTCTGGCCTCCTGGGCCTTCTTGGGGCCATCTTGGAGGGCATCGATCAAAGAATGGCCGTCGGAAGCGAAAAGGCGAGAAGGCACACGCCATTCGTTTTCGTAAGGTTTTGGAAGGGCTTTGGCCTCTTGGAGGCCTCCTTGGATGTCTCGGTGGAGCCGTCTTGGGACTTTGGATCCCCTTGGAGCATCTTGTAAGCCATCATGAGGCATCTCGGGCTATCTTGAGCCATCTTGGAGGTCATCTTGGAGCCGTCTTGGGCCATCTTGGACGTTCGGACCGCTCGCGACCGCCCCCGCCCAAGTCCAGGGGAGGGGGTGGGGGGGAGGGGTCAACCCCTCCCCGAAAGGAAAGAAAGGGGGTTGGAAGAGGAAGCGCTCGAGACCACCTTGCGCCCTAAAGGGCTGGTGGGAGTAGCGCAACGCAGAAGTATAATAGGATGTCAGGTATGGCGCGAGCGCGCATGGCTTGCCTCCTCCTCCTCCTCCTCCTCCTCCTGCTCCCCTCTCCCTCTCCCGCTCCTTCTCCTCCTGCCCTCCTCCTCCCCTCCTCCTCCTCCTCCTCCTCCTCCTCCTCCTCCTCCTACTCCTACTCCTACTCCTATCCTTATTCCTTATTAGAATATACTCCTACTCCCCCCTCAGGCCGGCCATTAGGGGCCGCATCCGGGGGGTCCCATCCTAACCTGTAAAAAACAATACAAAATCAACATTTTTCTTATTTTTTCCTCTCGACATGGACGTCTTGTCGTCCACGGCGAT